CTTTTAGAAGAGTTATAACTTACTATGACTCTAAAGATAAGAAACTAAATTATCCACAAATTGCAAAATATTTTAAAGAAACAGCTTATCTAGAAGCTGAACAACTTCTTGTTAAAAAATTCAATATGCATTTTACTACACCTCTTTCTATTGAAGAAACCTTATTCTTCAATGAATCTCAACCTTCTTTTCAATAAATTTGTCTTTTACAAAACTCATAGATGCAGCTGCTGCTTTACCAAAGATACATCCTCAGTAGTTGGTAAAGAGAATGATGTAAGTAGGCAGATGGAAAAGCCTATTTACCTGGATTCCTGGGTTTATGATGGCCAGACTCAACATACAGAGCAGGCTACAAGTAATCTGAAAACCATGTGAGCTGGGTATATGGTGAACGACCTTGTAAAAGACAATTATAACAAGTCACTATCAACACCATCCACCTCCTATAACTTGCCAAATAATCAACTATCTAAACCTGACTTCATCCTTTATAAGTGTTATAACAAATACCTATCTAGTCAACTCTTACCTCCACTACCACATCCTCAAACTATAGAATTATTCTTTATATATATTAATAAAATCAAATATACATCTAACAGATACTTATACAAGCTAATTATTTCTATTAAAAAAGATCACAGTGAAGAACATATATATCTTCCTAATGAATTTGAACTACTCAAAGATCATATCATTCTACAAACAGACAAATATTTAAAATACTCTCAAATATCACTAAAATCATGATTTGATTCTAATATTGCAAAATACAGCAAATTCAATTTTAAAAAAAGTGGTTTAATAAAAAATTTTCAACTTAAATAAACTTTAATACTATGCAAATTGTTTTAAAAAACATTATCACTATATAAATTTGATGAATAAATTCTTGAGAATGAATCATTTAAAGATCAGAAGTGATACAATATAATAAAATTAATTTATCCATTCACTTTATTTGTAATATAAAGTGAAGATTTTAACATTATTATAGCATTGCTCTTAATAAGATTAGTTTCAAATCTAATTAGCTATAAAATAAATTAAATATTAAAAGTATTTGATATTATAACAAATTAAAGATACTTAATGATGGCTAATAAATACTTAAGATTTTATTTAATTTTTTTTTTTTTTAACAATCCTGCTTTTATTATTTAAATTAAAAGTAACAGAACTTTAGAACTTTATATTTACATTAAATATAAATTTTCTATACTATATTCCTGTACTAATAAAAACTCACTCGACTAGTTAAAGTTTAGATGCAACCTGCCTAAACAGCCAATTTATCTCACATTGGATCCTCAACTTACTGAGGATTTAAACCTTTTGATTCTTGGTTAAAAGCTGCCAACCTTGTCAACAATCACCTAATTCTTTCCAATATGCTACAGCCAAGGCTTTAACTTGCAGTTTGATTACAAATGTCTTCATTGACCGCTTTATTAGTAAAAATTAAATATTTTTTATAAACCATATTTTCTAATTTATATATATCTTCTTCATTATTTTTTTTTTTCTGTAGCTTATTATATTCTTCTTTCTTTGTGATTTCTTGAAAAGTCTTTTTCTTCTTTTTCTTTCAGTTTTTCTAGCCTAGTTTCTTTTTCTTTCTTCTTTTTCAGATTTGCATTTAGGCTTGAATTTATCTTCTTTTTCATATTAGAGTTTGAATTCATCTTCTTTCTGAATATCTAGCTTGTCTTCTGTGATCTTGTGTCTTTGTTTTGTCTATTGCTTCTTTTTGACTTTCTGTTGCTTTGATTCGAGTATTTCTTTTCAAGTATATCTTCTTTCTTCTTTGGTCTCAATATTCTGATCTTTTATATTAGTTAGATATTGTTTTTATCTTTTCTTCTGGTTGTCCACTTTGCTTCTTTTTCTTTTTCTTTTTTCTAAAAATTTATTTTATTTATTAATAGTTATTGTTACCACTTGTATACTAGTATTCTGTATTTCTGTCTTTTCTCTAGATGCTTCTTTCTTCTTTTTCTTTTTTCAGTTTGTTGTTTCTCTTTTTTTGTTGGCTTGTTTTCCTTCTTTTTGTTCATATTGGTTCTGCCTTTTTCTTCTTAATATTCTTTTTACTATAGTTTCGATGTTTCTTTTTCCTTCTTCTATAAACTTTTCTGTCTTTTTGGCTTTAGGTAATATACTTGTTTCTTCTCTTTGACTTTCTTTCTTCTTCCATTTTCAGGTTCGGGTTTCTTTTTACTTTGCTGTCTTTCCTTTTGTGCTGGGCTCTAGGTTTTTCAAAATTTTTTCTATTTTGTTGTTGCTTCCTATAATGAAATCCCAGTCTTCTTGTTTCTTTCGCAGCTTCTTTAAGACCCTTTGTAACTTCTGTATTTTTTCTATACTTCCTGTATCCAATATTTCCTCATAAACCATATTTTGCTTTGTTCTAATTATATTGTGTTGTGTTTCCATATTAATTCTTTCTAAGACTTTTTCTATTTTAATCCTTTCTATATCTTTTCCTATAGTTTTCTTTGCTTCCGTCTTTATTAGTTGTTTCTGGTTTTCTTTCTTTTTCCTTGCCAATTTTCTAAACATTTCTTTTGTCTTATACTTGAATTTTTCGGCCAAGTCTTGTATCATTTTTCTGTTTTTCTTGACTTGTTTGTCTTTTCTCCATTTATTTAGATTTTCTGTGCGCTGTTTTTCTAGTTTTTTCTCATGTTGTTCCTTTATTAATAGCAGATAATTTATTACAGCTCTAGTATATAAAGATCTTCTTTTGTAATGTTTGGTAAAAAGGCTTCTATTTGTC